AATGGAAGTTTCGTTTTGATACCCTGACCAACCCTAGAGGAAAATGACTAGGTACAAGACCCTCATCTCGTAATTTAAAGATAAATGTGTTAAAGTGTTACTTTGTAACCTATTTGCAGAAATAAAGGAATATAATTTCATCATCATTCAAAGATATTCTCAATCACGGTTACACCCGCTCTGCTCGGCTCCTATTGATTGTAGCGTTGTTTTATAGTCTATATCCTTTCTCGATAAATGGACTATCCAACACGAAGAGAATGATTCAAACTCGGACCAGTAGTTCCTGAGGTTAGCGCGTTCAAACAAACAAACAAGCTCTTTGGCTTTATATAATAAATCACTACATAGTATAAAACAAAGCCGCTATCCGCCGTCTGGCTGTCCCTATGTATGCTTAGATCTTTAAAACTACGCAACGGATTTTGATGCGTTTTTTTAAAAGATTGATACATATGGAAGGTTTAGATCAACTTATAATACATGCATATTGCATCCGTGCGAAGCCGGGGCGGGTCGCTTGTAATGTATAAGAAAAAATATACTTATTATGTAGGTACTTAGCAGTTGTACATTCTCCACCTGTCTCAATACAATAAACAACAATTAATTAATTCATCTGCCACCTAACGCAGTAAACATCGTCAATTTATTGCGCTGAAATTTTCACTAGTTTGCGTGAAAACGAGACCGTTGTAAAAGGAAACTCGCTGACTTAGTCACTCAAGGGAAAAAATAAAACGAGGAGCCAGCCTTAACGACCGTCAAGGGATGTCATTAGTTGATGTCCACTGCCGCATGATTCGAATTAGACTCATCTCGAATGTTAGTAGGGTCATCTTCGACACGACGGTAACCAAGGGTCATTGACTTTACACCCTTTTCTAAAATCATTATACAATGACATTAATATATATACAATAACATTAAGGTTTATATTGCGACGACAAGAAAAGACTGCCTCATTAGCCGAGTGGTCGCAAGAGCGACTGCCGAGCAAGGGGTCTCGGGTTCGATTCCCGGGTCAGGCAAAGTACTACTGGGCTTTTTAAAAATTCTCAGTAGTACCACGGAGTCAGGAAATGTGCCCGGTATATGGCAATGGACTCACCCCCTATTACAGGAGACTCCCTAAATAGTGAAAAGTGGGTGTTGCATTGTATAGTGGCATTAAGTGCCTGTAATGTGCACCTTTGCCTAACCCTTCGGGGATTTTTTTTTTTAAACGGGGGAAAATCATCGAAGGACTGGAACGCGACGCGCCGTACGCTCGGGTCTGTTTCTGGTCGGACGGGGAGCCACCCATGCTCGCCGTCCGCAGGCCCGCGCTTACAGTGGCCGGAGATCGTCCCGCGATCCCCGACGCCCGGTGTGTCCTTCGCGATGGCTGGGTTGCGAGGAGGCAGCGCTTCGCTGCCTCACGCGTCCCGCCTCCTCCTTAGCTAGCATGACTGCTTCGCAAAAGGAGGAGACGGCATCCCAATCCCCCTCGCTCCGCATCATGGCCCGCACTAGGCCCGGACGCGAGAGGTCGCCATCGCCGATCACTTCCCTAAGGGCACGGCGGTGCTCAGCCCACGCAGGGCATTCTCCCACTGTGCGTTCCACCGTGTCCTCAGGGCGGTCCTCGCAGTGATGACACCCGGGCGTTTCCTCCCGCCCCATCAGACACAAGTACCTCCCGAAACTTCCATGTCCGGTGAGGACCTGCGTCAGGCGGTAGGTGAGGACGCCGTAGCGTCTCTCAAGCCACTCATCAAAGAGGGGACTTACCGCTGCAATGGCAGCGAGCCCAAACCCTTCCGGGATAAGGCGTGATGTTATGACAAGAAAAAGTGTTAGCCCATGTAATGTACATATTTATAACCCATGCTGATAGCATTCAAATGATCTAGGCACGATTTGGAATTTTGAGCTTAGGAAAATATTGATTATCTGAGAATCATAATTCAGACGCAAAAATTATAAAATATTACATGATATATCATATCTGTATACCTATATTAGTAGGCAATGACTGTGGAACATTCCACCTACTAAACATTTCGAGTGAAGAAAGACTTCAACCTCAAATTTGATCTCTGCGAGCTTCAATGATGATTCCAATACTCAAGAGCTCTTTACGTCGACGTGTCTTTGATAGCGAAGAGAAAACAAGATCTGTATGATCTCTCATTTCTGACTGTGTTCCCTTGTACTGTATATAATTAGGTAGGTGTACCTATGTACATTATATTTATCAAGCAAAAAAATTAACCTCATATAAGAAGCCTTTGCACCCACACGACACATGAAGTTTGATATTGATTAGGTAACCTTCTTAACACAAGTCATTTGGGTCCCAGACTAACATTTTTATTAATGCAATTCATTCTTAAAGTAAACGCGGTATTCCCACTGAGTAAAAATAAAGTTAGGAAGGTATCAATCCATTACGGACGGTCTTTTTACTGCGGTTCTACATCAGGAATTCATTACCTTCCACAACCAAAAGTTTTTCTTGCCCGCACACTATGAAAGAACAAATTATATTGTTAGAGTATTCTTATCACGAACAGCAATTTATTACAGAAGTATTTGGCTCAATTCCAATTGCGGCGGCCCTTGGAAACTTTTAATTGGCTACTCTAACAAACAATTACTGAGTCGGTGTGAGTCTGTCATTGCATTTTTACAAATTAAAAAACATCTACTCCCAAATTGAAGGGCGGTTCTAGCACATTCCGACGGAGGCGGTCTCTGTCTAGAAAAAAGAAACAAATTACCGGTTTCGCATTATCGTGCCAACCTAATTTTATTTAGGAACTGTCTGCTACGTTTTATCTGTGAGTAAATTTGTCGGAGACAGAAATAGATAGGTAATTAGGTAACTATCTATTCTACTTCGAAGAATATCTTAAAGTTGACTGAAGTTAGTTAGACATTACTCTTTCTCAATTTTAAGTGACTAATTAATGATAGTAGAGGGGCGACTACTTGGTTTGAATTAATCAATGCTAAGATATTCTGAAAATACGTAGGAACCTATACAGGCTAATATAGCATTATTTACCTCTTCAACATCATATTATTTGTTGCTAGTAGAGAAAAGTATTTAAACCAACTTTTAATTATTATTTTAAGTCTCTAACAGAAATTATCACTTTACTGAAACACCGACATTTTTTAAAATAAGAAAGTACCTACCTACTTTTTTTTCATCATTGAATGACCCCGTTCCTATTCCTGCCCTTCGAGCCGGAGCCCCGGCAACCCGTTAAGTCCTCGTAGGTAAATAGGTCTAATATTCCATGAATAGTATGGCTATGGAATAGTAAAATAGTTTTATCTATTCCATGGGTAAGACGCCAGTACTATCAGTCTATCTCCTCTCCGGCCACCGTAAGCATAGGCCTGCGGACGGTGAGCATGGGTGACTCCCCGTCCGACCAGAAACAGACGCGAGCGTTCCGCGCGCGCCTCAAAGATCCATCAGACCGCCACCGATGGGGCCCAACAGGGCCGATGCTGATTCGGAGTCGCGGAGAACCTAACGAGTAACCGGGGCTCCGGCTCGACGTGCAGAGAAGGAACGGGGTGGTTTAACCCCTTAAAAAAAACTATCAGTCTATAAAATAATTTGTAAAATACAAGTAAATAAGAAACAGATAACCAATGCATTTAATTTGACTTGGGTAGGTAAGTACCTACCTACTACTCGTCAGCACCTATGAGCAAAAGTTTGAAAAGATTGTATTACATTTCCCACGTGGACTGACGTGGAAGTGGAAACTTCCATTCCATTATAAAGTGCAAGGCAACATCCATTGCGCATAAGTCACGTAACGCAAATAACGTATTGGGTTTAGATAGTCAGGTAGGTAATAGTGCAAAATAGCCCATTACATTAGCGCTCTTACAGCTCACACGGGAGAATAGATGGCTCGATCTATACTTAAATCTCCTTTCGTTCTCAGTTAGAATGGAAATTCATTTTGCTATTAATTACTTCGTTGTCTAGTGCTTATGCCAGTCTTGTTAATTATAGGTATTAAAGTTCCTATCTATACATTTTTGAGTAGGTAGCTTTATATAGGTTTCCTGCATTATTTAATTTAACTAGGGTTTAATTTTTTGTGTATATAGTTTTACTTATATGCAGACAAGACATTGCAGATTTTTTAGGTATAAAGTTTTGTATGTATCGCATATTTTTATACCCGCAATCAATAGATACATAATACAGGTACCAAAGTTGTAAAAGCTTAGTCTATGTGTATTCAAAATCAAAGCTGTTTAAAGGCTTTATATTATATTTCAATCAACGGTCTTAGGAATGAGGAAAGACCGGTAACATAATGGTGTCCCAAAAATTATTACCAGTAGCGACATCTAGTAAGTTCAAAGAGAATTGATAGTTAAATACCTATTTAAAATTAAATAACATAAGTACTTCTACATTTTTGTGGAAATAAATGAATACACAAAAATTACGTATTGAAAATACAGAAGAACGCTGTAAAAAAACGATGTTCTTTCGAACTTTGTGATAAGAGACATCTGTTGTCGAAGCTCAAAATTACATAAAGCGCTGGATGACAGATAAGCGGCGGAAATGGTTTGAAACTTATCTAAACTTTTTACGCAATACCTCCTAGTACCGTTAACATTTATTATTACGCGAATACTTATTTACTTAAGAATTAGAACCAGATAACAAGAAGTATGCTCTATAAGAAATGTTATATGAATATTTCGAGTCCCGTTACGTATGTCAAAGTTATTCAAACACGTGTTGCGATCGCGCGCACATGCCGCGCCTTCCCGACCGGCTAGCCTCGCCAGCCTGTCGCTTGTTGATTATGTAACAACAGTAGGTACTATGTAGACATCATAAAATTACTTAACAGCTCGTTATTACGCCCAGTTACATAACTACGACCTCGAGTCATTTATTTTACGTAACCATGAATAAAATCACTTCTTATGAATGAGTAGGTGTTTGATATTAAAACTAAACATTACTTCACAAGTATATTTAATATGGGTTTGTAATAATTTATGAAAAAATTTAGGTATAAGACAAATTTTGGTATAAGAGTTGGTATCGAAGTTCTAGGTAGAACCTAGAATTAGGACTACAAATACATCAAGTAAAGTAGAAATATAAGATAAAGACTTATCATTATGGTCATCTTATTGATAACCTGAGTTACAATGTAACAATAGTATTAAAACTATCTAAGTGACTTCTAAGTTAATGACTCCATTATCTTTGTTTTCTTCAGTTGATGCAGTCCCATTGCCTTTAAACTTTTTTGCTTGAGTACCCTCGGAATCATTTGTAGCTTCTTCTTTAGACAGCTCATTCAAGTTATATTTTTTATAAGTAAAATAATTATCAACAATGCTTAACAAGCAAATACCCTTTATAATTTCTACTATTATACAGAGTCCAGGATTTTTCAAATCCGCTTTGTTGTTCGCATTTTTCAAGACAACCATCTCCGCCAATTCTTTGATGATCAAGTCTCTACAGACACTGCTGTTGAAGCGTTTGTTAAAGATGATGGCAAATGAAGATGACTGTTTCAAGAAGTATTTATCAAACAGCTTGCCGGCACACTCCATGATGTCTGGCAAGTTGGCCTTGCAGGTTGCCATGATTGGTAGCAAACGTAATACATGACGCGTTTTTGAAAGTCTCGTTGTGACCAAATCTTTAATTATGGCTGTGGTCAGCTCTTCTGGACTAGGTAAATTTGTTTTCACGAAAATGCAGTTGGATGCACCTGTTTCCACTACCTGGAATCTTTTGTGCTTCAAAGATTTTTGAGACTCTTTCTTCAATAAGTCCACTTCTCGCTTCAGCATATCTCCTATATCAGTCTCTTCCTCGGACTCACTGTCTGTCTTGTCTTCAGGCACTGCAGATTCCGGAACGGCTGACTGGTTCTCCAAGCCGAGGTCGGGATACAACTTGCCAGCATATTCATTCAGCAGATTATACACTTCTTTCACGCAGTCTTTTTCTCTGAAGTTACACGTGCAAAAGAAACCTTTGAAGCCGGGTTCCAAGAAGTATTTGTTTCTACGTTTACGAAAGTAAAACTTTTTCTTCTTCCGCGTATCACCCATAATTAATACTGAAATCACTCCCTGCAGTTACAATATGGTTATGATGGCGGACTGTGATGATATAACGAAATATTATGTGTTACGTATTGAGTCGAATTAAATGATTATGAATTCAATAACACAACATCAACATCCGTAACGTAATGTCATGTCATGTCATTGAAATGTCAACAAAGTGTCAAAACTAGAGATGTTTCTTATAGCACAAAATCGACTAATGTTAATGTATAATTTAGTCGACATATTGAAGTAATATTATAGAAAAATAATTACTTATCTAATCAAATGGATCTGTGCAGAGAGGAAATAATAAATAGAATTTATTAACCACGTCTACTGTACTAATTTCAATGACGTTGATTCAACGATACTTTGTTTAAGCAATTGTGCTTTTGCCAATACACCTAATGGATTCATTTGTGTTACCACCACTATTTTTCATAAAATTCTCGTTTAGTAGTTCCAAGTATTGTACGTGTATAACTGGGGATAAACAAACAATTTATCGTCTTTGCACCTAAATAAACATAAAATAGCGAATTCCAAATTGTTAATTAGTAGAAGAAACTATTGTCAATTCCATTTTGAAAAAAAAATCTATTTTACTGCGGTTATCGTTTATTTACATTAAATTCGTTTAACAAAAATAGTTCACTTATTTACAATTTCTACTTCTATAAATAAAAAAGTATAATATAAGTTGCTTAGGAGCTATTTCATTAAATCTTTACACATTATACACTAATATAAATGTAAATATTAAAATACTATTAGAATACTTTTTGTAGACATTTTGCATTGTCTTAAGTGCATTGTCCGAATTATGAAATCCGAAGATGGAATCAATATTTCCTAAATCTATTTACTGAATTTACAATATTTCGGCTTCATTATCGTTGGCAGGTTGGCGACGACTGGCTTATTCCGTTTGGGGCACACTGTAATACTGAAAAGAAAAAAAAACTATTAATATTTTATATTACAAGAAGTGTCCCACAACTGAATTTGGTGGGAGACATTTCGAGCACGAACGTCACACTGTTATAATTTTAAATGTATCAACAAATCGTTAATAGAATTGATTCTCAAATTGGGACTGATACAATGTACACACGGCCACACATCAACCTATACAAAACCAGTTTATCCTGGTGTCGCGTCGCATCATCTTTCCGCACATTTAACGATCAGTTTATACTGGTTATGTAAAGCTCGATGTGTAGCCGTGTGTACCATGGAATATTTCTTCAAGTATAGTTGAATAACATTAAAAAACTAAACTTACTCTGTGTTATATTCAATCGAAGACAGCTTCATATACTCGACGTAGATGCTGGGGCTCTTCAACAGTCTCCAAGTCATGGGGTTGAACAAATTTGTCTCATATTTCCACTCGACGATCACAAACACAGGTGGATGGCCTGTATCTTTCACTGCCACCATCTTTTTCTCGATCACACCGGGTTTGTAGAACTTTCTGTTGGAAATAAAAATATTAATTAGTAAAAGAACCTGGGATGCATTAATGAAAAGGCCCCGTAAAGATTTCAAAAACTAGCACCTGAATATAAACGAGTCTTGTCATGAGCTTATGTTTATACGTACTTTGGTCTAGGATCTGCTGGGGTCCGGTCTACTTATTTCTAGGCTTTGTGTTAATTTTATAAGGTCAGAATGTCTTATTCATAATGTTTCTATGCATATAAATTTCTTCAGTATCAGTTAGAAAATTTGATAGCTAATACCTAAACATCAAACAGAGCTAAATTATAGTTAATTTATGAGAATATTGCACTAGTACATAATTCGCATTAAACTGTCAAACACCAAGCGGTCACCGGTGACCGCAGCCTATTGTTCTATAATTGTGTCTACAAAACCGGTACTCGACGAGTTAAAGTACCAAAATATAACGCATATTACGTATAAAAAGTTGACCTACTGCCACACACTCGAATTTGTTTTCATAAGAACTATTGTTTGATAAAAATCTTTTTATAGTTTTACAAACGCGTAAATTATTTCAGAATATTATAAACATCCTTATGCTTATCGATATTATCTTAAGAAATCAAATGACCCGAAACGAGAGATAGCGAATTATATAATGGAGTACCTACATTCATTTTATACATAATTATGACGTTATCTGGAAATATACTAAGACAGTTCTTACTCATCTAGATAGCCAGATAATTCTAGAATCTACCTAAGTACCTATGAACCCGGTATCTGACTAGAGAATAATAATATCTTTAGAGATAGGTAAATGTAATACTCGGTTATACGCCTCCCGCCTCACCCAGGCGGTAGCAGTAATTTGATGATTTTCCACACTTAAAAAAAAAATACTCGGTTATAAAGAGCAATAATTCCGAAATAAATGGCCATACCTAAAGACAGCTTTAATTCTTACTAGCTGATCCGCAGGGGCGTAGCTAGTAGCTAGCGCCGTATCTGCCGTATCAATTATATGGGGGGCCCTAGGCTTCGGGGCCTTCGTATAACCGAGTATTACATTTACCTATCTCTAAAGATATTATTATTCGTGTGTAAGCAAAAGTATAAAAACTTCTCAATTTATATTTTATTTCAGTAATCACAAAATGCATGCGTTCAAAGGTTGACAGAAATCATGAGATAGAGAAATCTATTCCAAGACAGAAACTTTGGAAAAATTTAAGTAGGTACCTAATCATTGTCCGATAATTCGGGCAGAAGAGGTATGTATGTATGGTATGTAAAAAAAATCTTCTGAGAAATTTTTACCTTTCATAAGGGCCCCCAAACAAATTTTTATACGGGGCCCTGCCAAGATACACTACGCCACTGCTGACCCGGTAAACTTCGTATTGTCTAAAATTTTGTCTCCCCTTTCATACCTTCCCTAGACTTCCACAAACATTTCAAGACAAAAATTAGCCAAATCGATTCCGCCGTTCTCGAGTATTAGCGAGACTAACGAACAGCAATTCCTTTTTAAATATAAGATGAAGTTTTCCATAATCATTTGTTAATAAACACATAACTTCTGATAAATTCGCGGCTGCGTTGGTCTTTTAGCTATTATGAACTTTAGCTACGTTAATATACGTTCAAAATAAATCAAGTAAAACTTACTGTTCTTCTTCCAAAAACATATGATCACTCTTGTTGTTGTTCCTGTCGACTAATGTGATGGATAGTTTTCCAGATTCAGGCCCGTGAGTGATGCTCGCTGTAGAGTTAGCCACCTTCAGTACCACCTCGTAATGCACTCCTGTAATAAAATGTGGATAATACATGTAAAACTGCACGTAAGAAATCTAATATAATTAGAACTGATTTACAGACTACCATTATATCTCCTTATCATTTATGGTTTTTGTATATCCAGACATACGACATCGTTATTTGGCTTGCAATAATTTTAGTTTCCAATACCAAGGACAATAGGGATGATGATAGGGTATGAAAATTGTATCGAATAAGAAAACAATACTTAGATAAAACAAATCAAAACCTAGTAGTGGCAGTCATTTTTTAATATAGAACGTACACCAAAGTGACGTCACGCGATATTTCAAAGCAATACATCGTCGAAAGTATTTGTTTTTATAAGAAAATAAAAAGGACTTGTTACTTATTTTTAAACAATCTACCAGACGGACAATAAAATAGAAATTAGTCATCTACTGATCTACCCTATTCAAGGATCCGTACAAAAATTGAGAAACTTGGGGTGGCCTTGGGGTCAAGCTCAAAATCATCGAGAGATATTGGTGTTCCAAAAACCACAATTTAATGTGAAAGGTTTTACATATGTCAAATAAATCTAATTAAATCTACTTTCCAATCTCATGAAATTAGGTACTAAGAGAAATTACTTACTGCAAAAAGGTTTACTATTGCCAGTGAGAGCATACAGCGCGATATTAGAATTGGTATCAACAAGGCCGCCCGCCTGCAGTCGCTTGTAGATGCCGTAAGAATGGTACCCCATTGGTATACAATAGTGATGATTGTCACAGCTCGTACAGTTACCAGCCAGAAATGCCTGGAAACAAGAATGATATTAATGTTTAAAATTAAACGTGAAAAATATACAATTATTATTTGAACTTCAAATAATAGACAGAGATAGGTGCATATAATGGTGCGTCCACATCTGGCGATTGCGCCGCGAATGTGCCGCTCGCGAACCATTTGCGGGCTGCCCGTGTCTGTCTGGTCTGTCACTGTTATGGTTTGATGCTCAACTTATACAAGGTTCGTGGCTCGCGAGTTGCGCATTCGCGGTACATCCGCCAGATGTGGACGCACCCTAAGGTATTCCGACGTTAGCTTTTACCTAGGTTTTATACGTAAAACTGTTCCTAATAAATGTCAAATTATAACACAATTTTAGATCAATGTCTTAAGTTCAAAAAATATTTAAATTGCAAAGCATGGTTAAGTTAACAAATTCAGAAGAGTATATCATTCCTGGCTGATGAGATTGTGCAATGACTGATGATAGACCAAGATCACATTCCACTACACTTTGAATACATTGCGCAATTATGGACCAACACCTCTACATCCGGGTTGCCCAAAAATAAAATAAGAGATACCTAGTATTATGACGTCAAACACCAATGACAAAACATTATTTATTTTTACTAAGATAACAATAAGAAGTATTTATTTTTTTATTGATTGCAATTGACCTTTTGTTAATTGGGCGATATTTAATACTACAATAGATAAGTCAACCTATTCTTCATTGACTTTAATAGGAGTAGGGCTAATGTTTCTATGACGTCATAGATATATTACGGTAATGTTTATTATTGCGCAGTGTATATTGAAAGGTAGATAACGATTACCAGTAACTGCCCATAAGCGAATTCGCTAAGGTTTTGTTATGAAGCAAATTCAGAGAATTTATTGGTAAACATGACAGCTTTAGCGTTAGCTAACTTTTCTTCTATGATACAATCAAATTCGCGGTTCAATATGCAACCTAAGTGACCAGTACACGTCTTATCGTTCATCTTTTAAAACATTGCACCACTCTAAGATTTTCTAGTATTGATAAAATTCACACATTAATCAGTCATTTATTATTGTTATACGGCTTTGTGTGTAAAGGCAAAATCATGAGCGAAAAGCTAATCATAATTATTAGC